TCGGAGATGCCATCCTGGCACCAGTTGGAAGCTGAAAATTACATCTGTCTGCCAGCTTTGTTTCGATATTCCGATATGAAAACATAAAACATCTTTTTGCCTCCAAACTGTTTCGTAGCACGTGTTTCTTGGTGATGTTCCTCTGTTACACGAGCAGAAATATCTCTGTCTCTTCTGTTATGGAGGCCACGTATAAAACATGGGTCTGTTCACAGTGTGCTTAAGCTAACAGAAGCAATAGAGATCTCTTATTCTGAGCATTTCATTTTGTGAGGTTTTCTTCTCAGTTGATGAATATCATGTGAAAACAGCAAGGCATGTCCTGCTAGTTGCTCTTTTCACTTGCTGCAGTCTTGTTAGTGGTCCTTAAAAGAATTCTTAAACAAAGGCTTCCCTCCAAGATAGATGAAACAATGCACGTTTTGTTTCGAGTTATCCAAACTTCTAACTCGTATTTTTTCTTTTCCAGCTTGTACTTCCAGAGTACCTCATCCATGCATTCTTCTGTGTTATGTTTCTCTGTGCAGCAGAGTGGCTTACACTGGGTCTCAATATGCCTTTGTTGGCTTATCATATTTGGAGGTAATATTGACGAGTCTGGTGTCTGTGTACTCACTTTAATTGTAACTCATTGCAGTGCTTCCTGTTAAGTGTTCTGTGTCTGCAGCAAGTAAGGATGCTTCCTGAGGTGGCAGTGAGAAAGCTGACATCCAGGCTATCAAACAAAAAGCATCGCTTTGCTTCCTCTCCTTGTCTGTATTCCCTTGTGCCGTGCAAGAACCCCATATTGGGCAGCAGTGGCAGCTGATGTGACAGAGGTGCACTGAAGCTGCATACTGACGGCGTGGGCTGCTGGTAGGAGTGGCAGCCCTGCTTCCTTTTGCTGCTAGTTCTGTGCTGTGAGAGTGATGAGGTGCTGGAACAGCTGCCCAGGGAGGCTGTGATGCCCCGTCCATCCCTGGAGGTGTTCAAGGCCAGGTTGGATGGGGCCCTGGGCAGCCTGGGCTGCTATGAAATGTGGAGGTTGGTGGCCCTGCCTGTGGCTGGGGGTTGGAGCTCTGTGATCCTTGAGGTCCCTTCCAACCCGGGCCATTCTGTGATTCTATGATAGAATCTGTGCAGGGAGCTGCAGGAGGTTGAAACAACCCAACAGAACAGTTTTCCCTGTGGATGTAGCTGTGCTGGTCCTGGCTGGAGGTAGGGTGGCTGTTTGCCAGCAGCCTGCATTAAGCCACAGCTGCGGGATCGTTCTGCATTGACCTGCATGAGTGCTGCTCTGCTCTGGTACCCAGCGTGCACTGTAGCAACGATTCAAGGCTGCAGGCTACGTAGGGTGCTGCAGTGATCCCTTCTCCACCTTTATAAGGAATCCCACGTGTAAAACTGGCAGAATGCTGTTTTTCATTTATAAACAAACGTCCCGTTGCCAGCAGCTGTGCCAGAGCTCGGCCTGCTTTAAGGCTGGGGGCAGCTCCTGGGTCTGTGTGTCAGAAACTCTTTGGTGCCCACGGTTGGCTGGGGCCTCGTGCACTTTGCAGTCTCCTGTGAGGGGCTGTGGGCTGTGGCTCCTTGTTGCAGTGCTGTGCTGCTTGGTGGGGGGGGGCACAAAGCCATGTTTGCTGTTGCCAGTGCCCCAAAACTGATTGTGTGTCGCTTCCAGGTACATGAGTAGACCTGTGATGAGCGGCCCTGGTCTGTATGATCCTACAACCATCATGAATGCAGACATTTTAGCCTATTGCCAGAAGGAAGGATGGTGCAAATTAGCATTCTACCTTCTATCATTTTTTTACTACTTATATGGGTAAGTTTGCTCCTCTGTCCTCTGTCTCATCTTTAGTCTGCTCTTTTAGGCTGCGCGCAGTGCCAAGAGAAGTTTTGAACTCAGCAATGTAAATAACGCCAACTTGCCTGAGGAAATAATTCACACAGTGCCTTACATTCCATTATAAAACACGAGTCTTAATTTGGTTGGAATTCCTCATTTGAATCTGGGCATTAGAACGACTGGAGAGCTCCAGGCCTCTCCTCTGTTAAGCACAACTGAATGCCACCCTCCCCACCCAGACCTGTGTGTCCATGAAGAAATGGGAGCAGCAGCACTTCTCAGTTGTGTAGGCATTAGAACTGATTTTTCTTTAAGGTGGCACTCATTCCAAGAGTGAAAAGGGAGGGGACCCACAGGAGCCATCACAGCTCCCTTCTGCCCTGTCCTGCCTCCAGGCCAAAAGCTGATGGGCGTCTGGGCGATGGGACACAGCTGCTGAGTGCTGACCTGGGCCAGGGGTGCTGCAGGGCTCCCTGTACGGTGCTGCTTCATCTGCTTGTTGCATCGGTTCTCATCATCCTGCGCAGTGCCCTCTGGTGTTTGTGTCACATCTCCAGTCCCCGTCCACGTGCCTCACACGGATTTGTTCCTCTGAGACCTCATAACTCAACGCGTAACGTTTATGAAAGTTACACACCTGAATGTTATTTTTGTTCTTATTTTTCAGCATGATTTACGTTCTGGTGAGCTCTTAAGAAGACATTCGGCAAGCTTTGTTCCATTTAAGTGCATGCAAAAGCCACAAACCATGGATTATTTACAGCGACCACGTCGTACCAAGATTAAATACGGAACCCGATGATCGCATTTGCTTTACAATGACTCCCCTATTTTTAAAACATTTCCACATTTTATACTTGTGGAAAGACTGTTTTCTTATATTTTACCGGGACACTGAAATTATGGAATTACATTAGTATAAAGATTACTGGGTTTTGACTTTGCACTCCATAAGGAACAGCCGTAGTCCTCGATAGGTGTTGGTAACTGAGCAGCCATAGCACAGCAGTTCCTTTGGGCTTCAGCCCTGCATCCCTCTGACTGCCATCAGCTGTACTGCCACGGGCTGGGGGGACCGGCGTGCCGTGCTCTGCCTGTGGGTGATGTCAGTCTGAAGAGATGAAGGGACACAACTGCAGAAACAGCACTTCTGTTCTTTTTTCCCTTTCCTATCTGGTAACCTTTCCCTGTCAGTGCATGGTTCTGTATTTTCACCAACTGCTAGCCTTGCTGTAATCACAGGCGTGTCGTCGTGATAGGAAACATTGCATTGTCCACAGAGGAGTGAATCTGATGATTTGTTTACAGTCCGTGCACAGACACCATTAGCAAACTTAACTCACAAATGGATAAATGCACACTTATCAATTCCAACGGTGAAAATACTCCTGAGCTTGAGAGTAATACCACAGAGCTTCTCAAAGGAGAGATTGTGAAACTGCCCTGCTGTTCCTTAGTGCAATAAATAAAGTCTCAAATTCAGAAATGCTTATTTTTATTGGTGCCTCATTTTGTCTTTAAATTCATCTGTTGGGATCATTGCATACCTTTTAGAACCAGAACACAGAATCGTGTCTGAAAAGGGAAGCTCCAGTTCCCTGCTTTTGTGTTTTTGTGGCTCTGCAGATGAACAGTGATTGGGGCTGGGAACATTGCATTGTAAATGGTCGTTGTGAACAGCTTCCATGTGATAATAAGAATCTTTTCCATTTAGCCGTTGAGGAAAATGAAGTAATTTTCCAGCTGTAGCAGCACATTTTTGTATAAATAGTTTATTTGTTCCCTTTGAGTCCCCCAGGTGCTGGATCTAATAGCACAACATACGGGTGGCTGCAGAACTCTGCACAGTGGAAGAAAATAGGTAGAAATCCACGTGTTACAGATCTCCTGCACTGGGAACTTGGCATCTTCAACAGCCACTGAATGGCTCCCATTAATTTGGCTGCTTTTTGAGTACTTCCATAGCCTAGAATGAAAGGTGGCAGAGGCAGTGAGCTGTGCCTCACAGGATGTGTGTGTATGGGGGGAAGATGAATCCTGCTGGAAAATTCTGCTGAATTTCACATGGTGCCTCCAAATTCCTATTCCAACCCACCCCAAACTGCTCCAAGCTGTACTCCACCTCTTCTGTGTTAAAAAAAAGACTTCCTTAAGCTGTAACTCTGAGCTTTTTGCTAAACAACCTTGAAAGTTTCTTTGGAAATCCATGCAATGGTTCCTATTGGACCATCTTTGTTTTTTCCTGCTTCACTTTACTGCCATTTGAAACGCAGGGCTGTGAGAGAGCAGAGCCATAATCCTGTGCACTCAGCTGCACAGAAGCAAAATATTCCTCAATAAATAAAACAGTAAAGCTTTACATGTGGGAATCCAAAACTGAAAGCAGGAGAGTAACCTCCTAATGGGGTTCTACTGTGAGCTTCAGCTTCCAGCTGCCCCCAGGAACAAAATGCTTGGCTTGAGTCTGTCCTGCTGCTGCAGATAAGTGTGCCAGAACTGAGGAATTATACATAGCTATATATCTACTATGTATCTATTATATATAGCTACATTTTACAAACAAGGCTGTAGCCAGGAAGTACATTTGTCTCTTCTCCTTTCCCAACACACTAAAGTAGAAGGCAGCCTATTGGCATTCCAAGTCTGTACTTAGCTGCAATAGGGTTACAGATTGTTTTGTTTCCACCTGCACGTCCAACACTTGTCCCAGTTCTGATGCTACATAAAAACAGAGACAAAACACAAATGAAATTCGGTCATAGCTTTGATAGCCCAGCCCTGCTACCATGCAGTAAGCACAGAATGTCAACACAGAGAGGCCAGCACACCAGTGTAGTGACAGCACAGTGCCAAGAGATGCTAAACACCAGATAGCCTACATTTGGATGTTGGGGAAATTCTTCACAGAGTGGTGAGGTGCTGGAACAGCTGCCCAAAGAGGCTGTGATGCCCCGTCCATCCCTGGAGGTGTTCAAGGCCAGGTTGGATGGGGCCCTGGGCAGCCTGGGCTGCTGTGAAATGTGGAGGTTGGTGGCCCTGCATGGCACAGGGGGGTTGGAGCTTCATGATCCTTGAGGTCCCCTCCAACCCAAGCCATTCTGTGACTCTGCTCAAGTTGTCCTTGTGTTGAGCAGAAGCCCGTTAGGCATTCAGGTCAGCACCACACCAGTAATGAACACAAAACAGTTCAGTGCATTTTAAGGCAGTGAGTACAAAGGATTGCTAAAAAGATGCAGAAACTCTACGTCCATCAAGATTCCTGCCTCCAGCCCCAACACTTGACACGCATCTGAAAGCGAGCAGCAGTGGCACTGAGGCAGCAGCAACAAGCAGGTACTGAGGTTGGGATGAGCTGCCTTGTCCAGGTGTTTGCCACAGCCACGCAGACAAAGCCACTCCAGCACACGTTCACCGGGACACCGACCTCTGCACTGCACCCCGTGCTTCCAGCTGTGCAGCTGCACTCCCTCGGAAGTCATGGATATAATTGTATTGCTGAAAAAGCACAGTGACATTTGTAAGGAGCGCCGCGTACTTCTCAACAGCTGCAGCCCGTCTTAAAAGGCCGCCTGACTCCCCGCAATTCAAGCAGCACCCTCCAACTCTGTTCAAATAGTTTTTCTTCTTGTGCTCACTCCAAATCCTCTGGAATTTTTTTAACCACTGGACAAATGAGATGGATCTTAGCTCAGGTTCTACGCTTGCCAGAAAGGACACATGAGCTGAAGGTAAGTCTAGGAAGGTGGGAGTTCCATGTTAGAAATCAAAGCTGCTTCGTTTGGGCCAACCAAGGAGCTCTGCTCACCACAAAGAGTCCATGATGCCAAACAACATTCAGCATAATGAGACCCAGCAGTTTGTGCTAAGAGCTGTCATGTCAACCCATACATCATTTGGAGCACTAATATCCAAGTGTTTAATATGAGATTTAATGACCAGAGGCTAAAGGAGAGAGCAACCCAAGCGAAGGCTTCAAATGATAACATTTGTTCATATTTCCTACTCCCACCCCAACCTCCTTCAACCAAGGATGCAAGCTGCTCCCTCACTTGTCCTCTTGGCTTGTGGAAAACTGATTTTCAACAACTAGCTCAAATTAAATTTGGGTTCCATAGAGGCTTAGAGCTGGCAGACAGCCTTCAGGTAACTCCTTTTTTCTTGGAAGCTACTGCCTTGCAAACTGATTCAATGTCAGCTTCTCTTGTCTGTACACAGAACTACTGTAAGAGCATAACTTATGTATGAACTTCTGCTGGCCCAAGAGTAGCCAAAATCCATCAAAGCAAGAAGAATAGAAACCCAGCTGTTAAGCAGCTTAAGACCCTCCATGTAGGGTTTGAAAATAAAGTTAGGGGTACTTCTTGAAAGACTGCTTGGGCTTTCATGTGGCAGCTACAGTTAGGATGAGTTAGAAAGATTTAAGAGAGAGGCAGAAAAATTAAACAGAAGAGAATGAGGACAACAGAAAGATGGACAACAGCTTAGTGAGTTATGAGCAGGGATAAGGATGAGAAAGCAAGAGATTACTAATGATGGCAGAGAGCAGACAAGCAGGACGTGTGCTGAATTCAGTATAGGCAGACCAGGCTGGCAACAGGAGGAAAGAAAAATGCCAGAGGCAGCTCAAACTCAGGAAAGAGGTGAGGGCAGCAGATGTGAAACACCTCCAAGAGGTGGAGGGATCCCTTTGTGAAGCAGAAGGAAGGGCTGTCCAGACTCTCCACTTGTTTCAACCATCTGTTACCTGCTGCAGTCCCATTACCTTGACTGTCTGTATTGCCCGAGATCCCCTTAATTCTCTGAGGCTGTCTATTGCTTGCTGAGGTGTCACCACATCCGAAAGCTGAAGCAGGAGGCATGCAGCTACTGTAAGAGAAAGGTAAGCATGTATTCTGCTGAGCACCTCTTGCTCTGCACAGCACTGCTTTGGCACAGCAACTGCTCTATTCTGTGAAAACCACTCTAGGCAAAGCCAACCCCGCCATATCAGAGATAACACATCTGCTGGACCTTTTACCAGATAGAGTTGGGTGGCCTTTGTCCCATCTGACTGCTGCACCTTTAAGCAGTGGTGCCTCGTGGGAACAAAGGTCTAAATCAGGTTAGTTAATCAGGCACTAAGAGCTGCTTACTGAGACAGGAGCGTCCGAGGCCACCGTAACAGCTGCAAGAGAAGAGAAGGTTTGGTTACAGCAAGCTGTGGCACACTGCAACACTCAGCCCCCCATATACAAGTGTAAGATACAGCTCCTGCCTCAATATATTCAAGAGCAGCAGTAGTCTAAGAAAGTCTTGTAATTACTTCTAGAAATACTGAGTATCCTCTATTTATTCTCCAGAGCTTCCTTTTTTTACTGTCATTTTGGAGAACGTGCTGTTTTAAAGTTCCTCTTCGTTCATGGTAACAGCCCCAAGGGCACAAGAGGTCAACAAAAGGTGTGAAGAGATCTCCATTTCCTTAAATCCTGCTCCAGGTTAAGGTTCTGATAACAGCTGTGAGTTAATGGTAACAGCAGGCCTCTGCAACAGTGAGAAGTCCAAGAATTTCAGTGGCTGGCTGTGCAGGAAGCTGTCAGCAGGATCTCAGGGAACATGGATCTGGGAAAGCTCATTTTCTCTACCCTGAGCTCAGCTACAAAAGCTTAAAGATAGAACTTTCAACAAGTCTTATGCAATTTAAAATGAATTTGGCACTGCTAGGACCCAATAAGCCTCTGGTAAACAGCCTGGGGTACGTTATCCTGTGACAGTGTCTGCTTTAACTTACAACTCCTCCTACAGACCTGATATCCAACCAGCCCAGCCACAAGGAGCAGCACAGTTACCAGTCAGCACACATTTTGAAGCATTTGCAGGACAGAAAAGGGGAAAGAGGGAGAAACAGATCTCAGAAAGGCCAAGTCAGCTCCAAAGGGGTACAAGAGGTGAAAGAAGTTTTTCACAGCTTGAGCTAACCCCAAAGCAACTGTCATTTGACAGGGTTCCATTTCAGGTGGTCGTGCAGGAAGACTCGGTGAAGGAACCACAACTTACTGGATGATTGTCTTCCTGTTGCTTTCCAGGCAGCTTCTGAGCTCTTCCAGAATTGTGCAGCAGGTGGTGACATCAGGAGCATCTCCATCTGGAATAGGATAGTGGTGCACACAGATCCCACGCTCTTGGTAGGCATCTATAAGGTTTGGTACTCGGTATTTTAAGAGCTCTCCTTTGGTACAAAGCACAAACACGTCCTGTGTCCCACAGCTCTTCAGTTCGTCTGCCAACAGATTAAGCAAACAAACAAAGCCTATCAGGCTTAAGCATGAACAGATTTGCTACTTGGTACCAATCCCCTCGTTTAGCCTTTGAAGTTAAGACAACAAAGTTAGCAATTTTGCCTTTGAGCAGCATTTATTTCTGTTGAGTCTTGCCTACACTTGTCTTCAGATAACCTGCAGGAGGAATTCTCAGTTCAGAGTCAGCCTGACAAGGCTCACCCAAAGTAAGGTCAGCACTGAAAACAGTCCTACTAACCACTGCTGGCTTAAGCATGATTCTACCCCATCTCCAGCTATAACTGTCCAACTGTCTACCTTTTCTAGCCTTTACAGCTGAATCCCAAGCACAGATTTTTTACACTATTTCATCTTTTCTATCCTCTTCACAGTTTCCACTGGGAAGGGGAGATAACAGCTCTGTAATTCATCTCAGTCCTAACTGTTCTGAAGATGCTCTTGGCCTGCACATGGTGTGTGACTTCACAGAACTCAAGTTACTGGGAAGAATACAAAGATAGCTGCATTGCTCCAGCCTGGAAATATCCTGCCCAGGTTAGATGAACAGCAGCTCCATCAGACTCCAAGTCAAAGGAAGCCTGGAAGAGTATCTTCTGCTTCATTTCACACTCACATTGTTCTTACCCATTCCATGGCAATGAGAGGCAATCAGGCTCTGAACAGAAGACTCACCGATATCTTTCTGAAGGTTCCTTCTAATGTCCTTAAACCTGCAACCTAAAACAAATGATGAATGCTGATTATGACCTGAGATTTCATAAATGCCTGCTACAACAGAAGAGCAAAGCAGGCACCCTCCCCTCAGCACCAAAGCCACATCCCCACAACAGTTCTTGGTTCTGCAAATGGATTGCTAGTGCAGAATGCAGTATTAAGCAAATAATGGTGTTTAAACTGTCATAGAACAGGATTTTAAATGTCACTCAAGGTTTTAAGCTATTGTACACCTTACAGATGAAAAGTTTGGGATATTATAAATCAGAATGCATTTGGTGCCAGGACTGTGCACCTCTGGAAGCATACCCTGAAAACATGGGCGCAGAATCCTGTACAAGAGCTCTGCTGGCAGGTCTGCACTGCAGTTTAGCAGTCAAAGGTTGAACATCTATTACAGGAGCAGCTCATGTAGCTTAACATGAAAATGCAACTATTTCTGGTGCACATGATAGCAGGTGTTTTTGTGGGATTCTCATCACTACTGGCACCACCTATTGAAGGTATCTTAAATCACAGAATGGCCTGGGTTGCAAAGGAGCACAACGCTCATCCAGCTCCAACCCCTGCTGTGTGCAGGTCACCAACCAGCAGCCCAGGCTGCCCAGAGCCACATCCAGCCTGGCCTTGAATGCCTGCAGGGATGGGGCATCCACAGCCTCCTTGGGCAACCTGTGCCAGTGCCTCCCCACCCTCTGGCTGAAAAACTTCCTCCTAATATCCAACCTAAACCTCCCCTGTCTCAGTTTAAAACCATTCCCTTGTCCTATTACCATCCACCCTCACAAAAAGCTGTTCCCCCTCCTGTCTACATGCTCCCTACAAGTATTAGAAGGATACTACTTGGAAGACACTCGGCCAAATAACAGAAAATAGAATTTAGGGCTACGAGATAGTTCTTCTCGTCAGCTCAAACACACCCACAGACTTCAGCAGTGCTGCTTACCTGGCAGGGAACACACAGCCAGGAACGCAGAGGAGTAGGCAGGAGGCAGCGGAAGCCTGTCAGGAGATAGACCGCAAGTTAAGTAATCGGAAAAATATAAAAAAGAAAAGCAGCACTACACTGATCACTTAAAGAGAGATTTTGTACAACACCGAGGGAACAGCACATCCCACAGCACGCTCCCGCACAGGGCCGATAGAACCCCACAGCGCCCGCCCCGCTCCTCACCAGGACAGCGGCAGCGGCGCCGCCTGCTCCCCCTCCCCTTCCTCGGCGGCGTCTTCGTCTGACGAGTCAAAGTCCGCTACGTGCATGGCTCACAGCTGGATGGAGAAGAGCGACGAACCCACCGGAGCGCTGCGCTACCCCTCGCTTAGGACCGAGGTTGAGGGGCCGAAGATCCCGGCCCCGACCCCAAGATGGCGCCGCTCCCCTCCCGCCGTCCTTTTGAATTCAGCCCGCCCACCCGCCGCATCTCATTGGTCAGCCCTTCCCTCGCGTCGTCCAATGGAGAGCCATCGAGGGGCCTTCTCTATTTGGCGGCCAGAGGAGGAGAAGCTCGTTGATTGGCTGGCGGCGATGTCGCTTGAATTTGGCATCTGAAAAACTCGCATCCAGGCTTCACTTTCTGGAATTTTCTGTCGTAGAATCACAGCATGGCCTGAGTTGCAAAGGAGCACAGTGCTCATCCAGTTCCAACCCCCTGCTGTGTGCAGGTCACCAACCAGCAGCCCAGGCTGCCCAGAGCCACATCCAGCCTGGCCTTGAATGCCTGCAGGGATGGGGCATCGGCAAAGAAAAGTAGTCATGGATGGCCTAAAACTTGCCCCTAGGAAGTTCTTTACTAACGTGTGGAAGGACTTCTCTACAGTCAGGATGACAGAGTGCTGGAACAGGCCTTAGAATGCTGTTCTAGAGTTCAATAAGGCCTGCCCCCATTGGGGTGTATGGCAGGTGGAATCTAAAACAGCTCAGTCTTGTTTTCTTCTGCCCAGTGTCGTATTATGGCACCAGTGCAATGAGTCCCTTGGTTGCTCTCAGTGACATGAGGCGTGCTGTAGGCAGCCGCTAGGTGAGCACCTTGATGCTACTTGCCTGGTTCACTCTTGGCACTGGCTAGGCCTGCCTTAGCCCTCTTGCTGTTTCGATGCACATCTCACCCTCTCAGACCAAGGCAGAGGCCAAATGTAATCAAACTGCCATCGCTGGAGAGGACTGCGTCCTCTAGCAAGATGTGCTGCTGTTTCAGGCCACAGTCTCGGTCTCATCTTGGAGCAAGCATTGCAGTCTCAGCACGCCTGGACAGTATCAGACAGTTGTATGGGCAGCCCCCATGCTTTAGCAGCTGCCCATGTTGTCTTTTGTCCATCTTCTGATATGACCAGCAGGTGATGCTCTCATATGGTGAATCCTCAATCCATCAGACTCGAGCCAGTGTGTCGGCTTCATCATTTCACACAATCACAGAATGGCCCGGGTTGGAAGGGACCTCAAGGATCACGAAGCTCCAACCCCCCACCAATGCAGGGCCACCAACCTCCACATTTAATACCAGCCCAGGCTGCCCAGGGCCCCATCCAACCTGGCCTTGAACACCTCCAGGGATGGACGGGGCATCACAGCCTCTCTGGGCAGCTGTTCCAGCACCTCACCTCTCTCATAGCAAAGAACTTCCCCCTGACCATTTTCCAGTGATTGTAGAGCTAGGTGGCCAGAAACATGATAGACATGTAGGGTCGTGTGTTTAACCACATCCCTAGCCACATATCTCTGCCCCAGACTGGTTGGGCATGGATAGTCCATTCCTGAGTTGCTTTTATTGCTTGGTTTGGTCCCAGAGTCCTGTTGATGGCTCAGCACTGGAACTGCACAGAGAGACTGTCACTAGTGAGCTGTCAGAGGGAATTAGCATTCTGCAGGTAGCAGTCATAAATCCTTCCAGTGACATCAACCTTATGATTCTGCAGCAGTGGATATTAACCTTTTCCCTCATGTTACAATTTAAAGAAGTTTTCAGGCTTCTCCTCCCCACAAAAGTCATAAAGAGTTAGAAGTTAATTACAAGCTCTCACACCAGATTCACCCCTGCGTATATGACATTGGCCACACTCTCAGCACTGTTCTAGGCAGTGTGTGCAAGTGCCCTTCTCCTCAGCTGTGTTGCTTTGTGCTCTGATTGCCTTAAGGCTCCTTGCCTGCTGCAGTTTTCCTCCCAGCTGTGGTCACACCTGAGGATATGGGTTCAGATGCTCTCACTGCTGTCAAGGGATCCCCACCTTTACACGTTTTATTTGTTCAGCCAGCTGGTGCCACTATTCTTTTCTTTCCAGCAGATTTTTTTCCTCCTGTAGTAGAAAAAAATAATAAATTATTTGCCAAACCTGAGGAGCCCAATTCTGTTCTGTAGCAGGAAGGTGAAAATTTCCTATCTCAAAAAAACTGGATGACTTTCATGTTCATAATGGTCACCTGAAGTCATTTTCTGTGCAGGGGGATGGGGCCCAGGGACGCAGTGCTGGTGATCAGTATGGGCAGATAGCAGAGCATGGTGAACGTTTCTGCTTTTTAGGTACAAATGTCACAAAGCTTTACGTTTCTGGTAGAAAATGACACATTGCTCTCCTTGAGTGTAATTAACTCTGATTGAACAACATCACAATTTCTTGCTTTCCTGGCAGAACTGAAATGGGGCATGACAGAGTGTGGGCATTTTTATAAACCTGAAATAAATTTATCTTGCTCTTCCCTCTGCCTTCCTCCTCTTCACATACCAACAATAACAGCAATTAAAGAAGTCATTAAGCTATTGCAGGAGGCACTCAGGTCTAATGGAAACCAGTTCCTCTCTGTGAAGATGAGGTTCATCAACCCACTGGTGATTGTGTCAGCTATAGTTTTCTGCTTGTCCTAATTGTGCCCTAAATTAATCTGTTTGGACCGTGGATCAAGGCTGACTTTTATCTGGCAAGTCCTTCATGTTGCAGAAGTGCAGTGGGAGGAGAGAGGCAGGAGGTCCAGAGAGAAAACCTTTCCCTGACCCTCATCTGGTGCAGCTCCAGGCTGTTCCCTAGAGAGCAGAGCTCAGCACTGTGCCTTTGCTCCCTGTGAGGAGCTGCAGGCTGCCATGAGAAGCTGTAGGCTGCTGTAAGAGAGTTGGGTACAAAGGAACCTGATGGGCTTCAATTAGAGCAAATGTAGAGTCTTGCACTTGGGGAGGAATAACCGCACGCATCAGTACAGGTTAGGGGCTGACCTGCTGAAGCTGAGCTCTGTGCAGAAGGACCTGGGGGTCCTGGGGGATGACAGGTTGGCCATGAGCCAGCAGTGTGCTTTAGTGGCCAAGAAGTCCAGTGGGACCCTGGGGGTGCATTAAGAAGAGCAGGGCCAGCAGGTCGAGGGTGGTGATCCTCCCCCTCTACTCTGCCCTGCTGAGGCCACATTTAGATCACTGTTCGGGGCTCCTCGGTTGAGAAAAAGACAGGGATCTCCTAGGAAGAGACCAGCAGAGGGCCACAAAGATGATAAAGTTCTGGAGCATCTCTCCTATGAGGAAAGGCTGAGAAACCTGGAACTGTTCAGCCTGGGGAAAAGAAGACTGAGGGGGGAATCTGATTAATGTTTATAAATATCAAAAGGGAGGTGGGAGGCAAATGGATGATGCCAGGCTTTTCATAGTGGTGCACAGTGAGAGGACAAGGAGTAATAGCCTAAAATTTGAGCATACGAAGTTCCATACCACCGTACAGAAGAACTTCTTCATAGTGAGGGTGATGGAGCACTGGAGCAGGCAGCCCAGAGAGGCTGTGGAGTCTCTATGGAGACATTTGAGGTCTGGATGCCTTCCTACGTGACCTAGCGTGGGGTCCCTGCTTTAGCAAAGGGATTGGACTCAATGATCTCCTGAAGCCCCTTCCAACCTCTGCAATTCTGTGATTCTGTGGCAAGTAGCTGCAGCCACCATGATGGCTCCCCTCAGCCTCCTCTGCTCTGCGCTTAACAAAACCAGGGCTCTCAGCCACCTCTCACATCTCCTGCCCTCAGATCCTTCCCCACCTTCATAGCCTTCCTCTGGACACTGTAATGGTTACACTAGCTTGCTGTCCTGTAAGCTCTGGGGGAATGTTTTTTCTGTCTCTTTTTAAACAAAATCCAAGCTCACTGCAACTCAGTCTGTAGGTAAATCAATCAAAAATGGAAAAAAAAAGAGCAGAATTTGAACATTAGAATAAGTTCGAAAATTTACTGAATCATTCTCTGGCTTCTTTTTAAAAACTAGGAAAAAAAGTCTAGCAAGTACTTGTGAAAATGTAGTCCTTTGGATGCTGCAGGACTGAAAGTTTCTATTTTAGCAAGAGATGAGTGATTGTGTCTTGAAGTTGCTTTATTCTTTAGAAGTGTCTTTCACAACGAGGAGGAGGCCTCCTTTATCACAGATACAAACAACTTGCCTGCTGGTGTCCATTCTGGTACGCAGAATCATCCCTTCTGGCAGAATCAAGGCATGAGCTCTCATGTGATTGATACAGGTGCTGGCAGATCAAAATCTGTCTGTTTTCCTGCTGAGGAGAGAGCTTCCCTTGTAAGATCTCTTTCCTCAGGGTTTAGGAGCTAAACTGGGCAAACAGCTTCCTTCTATCACAGCTATGAAGGATGTCAGAACGTTGCAGCTGTATGGTACGTGCTTTTCTCTGAAATTATTGCTTTGAAAGCTCTGAAATCTCAATTTCACCTTCTCGTGTCCTCACTCAGCTTTCTTGCACAACATTCCTTCAAAACAGAGAAGAAAAACAGTAGAAACAGAGATGAGGACATAGAAACATGCTGTTTTGTTCCCTTACCAGCCCCAAAACACAGGATGCAGGCAGGAAAGCTTTGCACAGGCGATTCTGGCTGCCACCAGGTTTGGTCTATATTTATCCTATTTCACAGCAGGATTTAACACCATGGTGAATGTTACTGATCATCCAGAGGATATCTTCATGGCTGCCAGGTGTTTGTTACGTTACAAGCTACTGTTTGCCTTGCTAAGTGTTACTGCTGTGTTAGAGCTTTCATAGAGAGGAAGCTGCCAGCGATGTCCTCTTACCATAACACTCCCATGAGAGCTGGTGGCTGGAAGGAGAGGTGACAAACCTTGGTGCAGCTATGAGATATCCAAATCATGGACTCCGTTTCTCATTCTGACAGGACTTTATGTGAGCATGGGAGGTGTTTTGCATTGCCCCACGCTTCTGCAATGCTCTGAGGCAGAATTGTGGAATCATTTAAGGTCGGAAACCACTAGGAGTTCTTACTCCAAATGTCAACCCATCACCAGCAGGAGCAGTAACCTAATGCATAAAGGCAAGTGTCTTTTGGGTGATTCCTTAACCTGCATTAATCCTCTCTGAAATGAATGCATGAACACTTCCCTTACTCTTGTTGGTTGACTGT